TTTTTCTAAGAATGTATGAAGGAAAGGCATCTCTCTAGCCTGGTAGAATCTTACTATGACAAAATGCTCAAGGGAATAAACATCTCTTAGGAGCTAAACACAGAGACAAGGAAACATTGGTAACTCTAGTAAGAAAGACTAAGGGCTTTGCTAATTATTAAGTAGTGCTTTTGCAAGTCAAGAGACTGTTCTCAGCTTTCAGCAATACTGAAGGAATACCTAATTGAGTAGTCTGCTAGTCATTTAAAATTATTTCTTGATGATAGGTCACTACATGATTGTTAGCATATAACTTAGGTTCAAAGATTGAAAAAAATTTTCCCATTCTCATCTCAGTGTTTACATCTACAAAAATGAAGAATAGGGCCGGGCACGGTGGCTCACACCTGTAATCCCAGCACTTTGGGAGGTCAAGGGAGGGCGGATCACTTGAGGTCAGAAGTTCGAGACCAGCCTGGCCAACATGATGAAACCCCATCTCTACTGAAAATACAAAAATTAGCCGGGTATGGTGGCACGCACCTGTAATCCCAACTACTCAAGAGTCTGAAGCAGGAGAATCACTTGAACCAAGGTGGCAGAGGTTGCAGTGAGCTGAGATCTTGCCACCGCACCCCAGCCTGGGCAACAGAGCAAGATTCCATCTCAAAAAAAAAAAAAAGAACAACAACAGAATTGTAGCAATAAGTAAATTTTCAGCCATGTATATACATGAACTAATTGAGAAAATAAAGCTATGTTCTTATTAACATACATGGCCAATAACTTTATTTTTATGTTCAACAATTGCTTTATCAATGTGTAATGCATTTTGACCAATTTCGTACCAATTGTAATAACTGAATCCAAAATATTTTGAAGTTTATAAACATTTTTGTAGCAAAGAAGTATGATAGGATGATCATTAAAATATCAGGCATGAGGCCAGGCGCAGTGGCTCACACCTGTAATCCCAGCACTTTGGGAGGCCGTGGCAGGTGGATCACAAGGTCAGGAGATCAAGACCATCCTGGCTAACACGGTGAAACCCCGCCTCTACTAGAAATACAAAAAACAAATTAGCCGGGCGTGGTGATGGGTACCTGTAGTCCCAGCTACTCGGGAGGCTGAGGCAGGAGAATGGCGTGAACCCGGAAGGCAGAGCCTGCAGTGAGCCGAGATCGCGCCACCACACTCCAGCCTGGGCAACAGAGCGAGACTCCATCTCAAAAAAAAAAAAAAAGGCATGAAAATATGTTGCACTAGAATAAAGTGGGTTGGAAATAGAGGTCCAGGAAGAAAAAAAGATGATATAAAACTTCTAACTTAAAAATTAGCTTCTTTTTATTAATGGATGATGGTAGCTATCAAATTGCTGTTACGTTTAGATTATATTGGATGTTTTTAAAAGACTGAGGTAACAGTTATTTTTAATATGCTGGAAATTATATCCTTTATAATTTAAATTTATGATAATAAATTTAAGTATCAGTGTATGAAGTGATGCCTAGTTTTCCCAAATCTCTTTGGGAGTATGCAAGTAGAAAATTTGAAGACCACTGATAATATATTCTCCAGGTTCAGAAGGAAGCTTCAGTGATCTAGTCTGGTCTCACACCCATTATTTAGTTTGGTTATCCAGCTAAATCACACCAGGGATTTTTTTTTTTTTTTTTTTTTTTTTTTTTTTTTGAGACGGAGTCTCACTCTGTTGCCCAGGCTGGAGTGCAGGGGCGCAATCTCGGCTCACTGCAAGCTCCACCTCCCGGGTTCACGCCATTCTCCTGCCTCAGCCTCCCGAGTAGCTGGGACTACAGGTACCCGCCACCACACCCGGCAAATTTTTTGTATTTTTGGTAGAGACAGGGTTTCACCGTGTTAGCCAGGATGGTCTCGATCTCCTGACCTCATGATCCGCCTGCCTCGGCCTCCCAAAGTGCTGGGATTACAGGTGTGAGCCACCGCGCCCAGCCCCCGCACCAGGGATTTTTAACTTGCCAAATGTGTATGATTGATTTGAAGGCAATAATCCATCCTAGACATGCCTTTTAACTCTCACTCCTACAGCAGAGTAAAATATTTCATAACAAAGATTTGGTTTTCCTTCAAGTTTTTCAGCATTAATTTTAGACATCCAGCCCAAATAGCTACAACAGGTTTGCATACCTTATCATGATTTTGGAATGCACTGTTCATCAAAACTATTATCTCTGGGAGAAATTACAAACTTTAGAATCTACGTAAGTAAAGGAAGCAGCAGATTATTTTCCATTTACCTAGACCAAGGCCTTCAAAAAATGATGAATTGACACTGTATTCTGTGAGCATTGTAAGTTTGGTTCTATTAATGTAAGAAAAATTTCATTTTCTGTAATTTAATGTTTTCTCTTAAAATATGCCTTGACAATCTGCATCATTTTTTAATTTGGCATAGTATTCCGTTCTATGGATGTTCCATGATTTATTTAACCTTTGATCTGCTGGTGAACATTTAGTTAGCTTTATCTATTGCTGAACATTTCGCTATTCAACACGATGCTTTAATGAACATTCTTTTTTACATTTGTGTTGTTTCTTTACAGCCAATTACCATGTCAAAGAAAATATGCATATTTAGTTTTAGTAGATACAGTACTGCAAAATCCCTCTAAAAAAGCTTAATAGTGCTAATTTCCCTATACCGTCCCTACCTGTGGATACTATCAGACTTTTAACTTTTTGCTGTTTAAAAAGACATTACACATGCACTCATACACACAAAAGCAGTCTTTGTTTAAATGTCACCTTCTTAATGAGGTCATCATAATTTTCCTCTTAAAATTGAACCACCACCCCCCTCAGCATTCCTTAATCCCCTTTACACTATTTTCTGTAGACCTTCTGGCATGCTGTTGTTTCTCTCTTCTTACTCTAGACTGTAGGCTCCAAAAAGGCAAAGTTTTGAGTTTTTGTCCTGTTCATTATGAACAATGCTTGGCATATGATTTAAAAAACTCGCATATTTATTGAATTAAATGGCCATGGCAGTTGTAGAATACACGTCAATTTCAGCCATAGCTGTTATGTTTCTCCTTTGGCCCATCTGTCCCTGGTTTAAATACATCTCACCTGACAAGAAAGTTCTCTTAAAAGTAGCCACAACTGCTTAGAGTGCATTACTCTAAGCAAATCACCCATGTCTGGCTATTAGCAGGCCGTGTGGGAGAAGGAAATACTGTCTGTATAGCAACATGTAGTCAACAATAGGCTGCATATACAACAGTGGTTCTATAAGATTATAATGAAGCTGAAAAATTCCTGTTGCCTAATGATGTCATACCCGTTGTAATGCTCATGATATTATGGCAGAACACTTTACTTTTTCTATGTTGATACACAAATACCATTGTGTTACAGTTGCCTACTGTATTCAGTACAGTAACATGTACACATTTATAGCCTAGGCCCAGTAGACTGTACCATATAGCCTAGATTTATGTTAGGCTATACCATCTAGATTTGTGTAAGTACACTCTTAGGATGTTTGCACCATGACAGAACCACCTAATGATGCATTTCTGAGAACATATCCCATCATTAAGAAACACATGACTGTACTCCTTCCTACTCTGGACTCCCAGGGCAGTTGATTATCAAAGTAGAGCCCAGCCAGTGCTGGCCATCCAACCACCACCTTGCTTATTTTAGCCCTTCCCTTCCTGTTTCTTTCCTGCCAATGCCTAAGGGGGCCTAGAAACAAGAACCAACCCTATTAAAACAGACATTCTATCCAGGCAAGTGACTGGCACTGATCTGCCCCACACTAGGCACAACCCACTCCCTACCATCCCTTTGGCTCCACACCATTTACAGTAACAATGGCACCTTAGTCAAACAGAGAACTGAGGTTTGGTAGAGCACCAAGTTTCATTGTTTTTGTCAGGTCAGATTTTGGATGTGAAAAAGGTATCAGACTAAGAGAAAACAAAGGATAGTGACAATTCAGAGTAGCTGGAGTTGCTTACGCTATATAACAGCTAAGAGTTGTTCATCTACCACTTTAGGATTTTGGTGATACATATAAAACTCCTTAGCTCCTATGTATTTCCTTCACATTTATCAACATCTATAATGTCCTCCCTTTCAGTGGCATATCATGTCAGGTTTGCTTCAAATAAGGAAACATGATCATAATGAATATTTTCACTGTGATATATTTAATGGAGAGGCTAGGTGGTATTTTTGATACTTTAATTCAAGGCTAATCAGGGGGTCTGCAATGCTAGTAACCTTCATCCTAACCTGGAGGAAAAAAAAAAAAGGCAGTGATCACTAGGTACCACTGGCAGGCCTAAAAAGAAAAGAATATTGTAGGAGAAGCTGTGCAGGCTAAGGAAATTGTATATTTATTTACTTCACATTCCATTTAGTGATGAGTTGCTTTATTCTTGGTCCATTACTTATTTCATCATCTCTCCCAGCTAGAGCAGTATAGGGGTAAAGTTTGATGACAAAGTTCTGGAAAGCAGATAGAGGTTTTCAGGAACTTAGACGTTCCAGAATAAGAATCTGAGCAAGAAAGAGGAAGAGACTTGAATACAGAGTAGGAAGCTTTTATGAGGAATGTCAAAGTAGTGGAGCGGGAATAACAAAGACCAGAAGAAGCTTCACTTGATTATAATTAATTTGCAGTGGTTGGTAAAGGCAGGCACCAAGCCAGATTCACCACTTTATAAATAATAAATCTGCGGGGGTGATGTGAAAGATGCATGGTAAGGTTGCATCAGCAAGGTGAATCACTTGAGTAGGTGGGACCGTCTAGAAAAGCATCTGTGTTTGGAAAGGGATCATTCTACAGCTTAGTCCAGAACACCTTGAACACAGCATAGCAGAATCTTGGCTGTAATACTTGGAGCAAATGTCACTGGCAAAAATGGCATATATGCTGGGATGTTCATAAGAAATACTCATAGTTAAGTATTGCTGGTCCTTTCGCATATAGAATCTCAGTATTAGAGGAAAATAGTAAACTGAAACTCTACCTTATTTCTGTTCTTTACGAGCCAGTTTCACCTATTGTATTACTTCATTACCAATTGCAGCTGTGTAGCCAGTGAGCCATAGGATTCTTTTTGTTAGGCACAAAGTAGAAACCAGCTGTTGAGACAAGTAGGAATCTTATGTTAGCCTGCCAGTTCCTCCTTTTCCTACCTACCTGCCTCACCCCCCGTCTCAAATGGTGGTCATGTTTTTTGTCACTCACCATTCAGGGGAGATGCTATCAATGAACCATGCTGGCTACACACAAATGCCTTTTCCTCAGATGATATTAATCATCTTTGCCTTAAAAACTGAAGCTCTTCCAAGTTTTCACTATGAGAGAAAAAAAAATTGTAACACCTAGCCTTGTAGTTAACACCACAACTGAATAATGGAAGTTGACAAGATCTAAATGTTTATGCGAACTATCCCAAGGTCACAGGAAATTAATGGCAATATTATACAAGGTTAGGGTAGTTCACTTTCTATAGGAATTTGGATTTTACTTCTTAAACTACAACGGAAATGTCTCAGGCAATCTGCTTTGGGAATTTATTCTTGAATAATACTGATTTCTCATTGAAGGAAAAAATACTGTATCCAACAACTCAGATATGGCAGAATTGAAGTCAATGTTCCGGGAAGTTCTTCCAAAACAAGGTATGTACATCACAAATATTGAAGTCATTATTATAGGGACTAAACAAGTGATAGGCAGTGTCACATAGGAGGCTTAACAGCTAAACATCTACAGCTATTGTGTTCCGTATTATCCCATTTACTGTCTACTTGTACTATATGCTTTTTCATGATATCCAGTAAAAGGATAACAAATAAAACATTGTTTCTTATACCTAAAATTGCCAATTAGCTAATTAATTCCTAAAATTGCTAATTACAATATGAATTTTTTTTTTTAAAGAAACAGGTTCTCACTGTGTCACCCAGGCTTGGGTACAGTTGGCACAATCATAGCTCACTGCAGCCTTGAACTACTGGGCTCCTGCCCTAGCCTACTGATATGCTAGTACTAGCCAGGCATGTGCTACCATGCCTGGCTAATTTGTTTTTATTTTTGTAGAGATGGGATCTCAATGTGTTGCCTAGGCTGGTCTCAAACAATCCAACCCCTTTGGCATCCCAAAGTGCTGGGATTACAGGTATGAGCTACCATGCCCGGCTCAATATGAAACTTCAATGAAAGAAATAATGGAATTTACTGTAATGTTAAATAAGGTCTGAAAGTGGAAAAAGAGAAACCTAAAGCAACAGTAAGAAAAGCCAAAGGTTTAAACATTCAGTTATTTGAATATTTATGTTAAATATCATACTTTGCTATATTTTTTGCACTATGTATATATATTCTGCCAAATCTTATTTTAAAATTAAACTTCTGACACAAAAAGTTGTGTCTTATGGTAGCATAGCTTGGGTAGAAAGCTCAAAACTTGTCTTCCTCAGAAACACCCTAGTAGTAAGAAATGCTGCTTAGAGTGACAATGATCTTTCTGGTCCCACAGCAAAACTCAGTTTAGGTACAAGAGTTTTTCACTGACAACAGATTAATTTTTTAGACCTTCATTCTAGCTGCAAATCTAACTACCAAACAACTGGGTTATCTTTCTTGAATTAATTCTTATTTCTTCTTAAACTTAGGGCCATTGTTTGTGGAAGATATAACCACAATGGTGCTGTGTAAACCCAAACTTTTACCCTTAAAATCTCTGACTCTGGAAAAACTAGAGAAAATGCATCAAGCAGCACAGAATACAATTCACCAACAAGAAATGGCAGAAAAGGATCAACGGCAAATAACCCACTGAATAACTGAGCACTTTAGGGAACAACCTACATTATCTACTATTTAACAATAACTAGAAAATATGCTTCTGTGTGCTGAAAGTAGTATGTGTTAATATTATCAATAAAATTGAGAGTATTCATATAAATACAAAAATATCCAAGATTGATGAAATTTGTATTATGAATATAAACACACTGGTTTGTATTGAACATAAACAGTTGAACTATGAACCAAGTTTTATGGGGTTTAAGTCATGTTTTTAGAATTGCAAATTACATTATTTGTTCACCATTGCTATTGCTCTCTTTTATAGGTAACTTGCTTGGGATCTCTTATAGATAACATTCTTGGGCACAAGGGACTAAATACAACTTTTATATACAGAGGATCTTTATGTTTATTAAATCTGAAGATACATTCCAATCTTGCATAAAGTGTTCAATGAGCTTTTACATTACATAAAAAACGAAATTTTTAAACCAATTTTATGTGCTGTGTCACGTTTAATGCTATCTTGTGTGACCAGATCCTACCAGTAATAACAAAACTGTCTTAAACCTCTTTTTTTTTTATATGACAGAGTTTTGCTCTTGTTGCCCAAACAAGTGCAATGGCACCATCTCAGCTCACTGCAACCTCCGCCTCCTAGGTTCAAGCTATTCTCCTGCCACAGCCTCCCAAGTAGCTGGGACTACAGGCATGCACCACCACGCCTGGCTAATTTTGTATTTTTAGTAGAGATGGGGTTTCTCCATGTTGGTCAGGCTGGTCACAAACTCGCAGCCTCAGGTGATCTGCTCACCTTGGCCTCCCAAAGTGCTGGAATTACAGGCGTGAGCCACCACGCCCCAGCCCTTAAATCTCATTTTTAAGAAACCCTCACCTATTCTGTGGGCAGCTAACTTTTAATTACATTAATTTTAAGGACTTGAGAATAAAATGACTGCATTTATCATCCAAGTGTCAAACAATAAAAAACCTAAAAATGGTAACTATATTTATATAAGCCGAGGAAATATGGGCTTGGATAAAACCCATGAGGTAAATATGAACATTAAACTTGGTTTTAATTCTAACGGACTGTATCTAAACCTGTAATTAGTATACTCCTAACAGTACCCTCATAAATTCTGAATATAATTCTTGTTTGCTACAGTCAATATTTGGCAGTTTAAATTAGCATAGACCTTGAGGCCTTGCTGAGTTATTAGGCTATGTAAAAGAGGTTAAAAATATGATAATTCTGTGTTACTAATTGGTAATATTTTCTCATACATTGGGTAAATGTCAAGCTTTGGGTCTTTGGAGTATAACTTTTTGTAACACTAGCCATTATTTGGTAACAGAATTTAAGGATGATGGAATGATGGAAGGTATAACATATTTCTAAAACTTAATTAAGCTCTAGGTCAGATAACAATGGAGTAAAGTGATACCTGCATTTTTTTCCCCAGTGTAATCTTAATTTACTATTGTACTTTTCACTTGAAATTTTGTAGGGAAAAAGTTTTCAAGGAACACTAAGATTAAATTCACTAGGTTCAAATATGCTTCCTTATGAGATTTAAACTTTACTGTGTGAAATTAAAGTTTAAGAGACCTAAAATAATGTACTCCCAATAAGGAATCAACACTGCTTCACATGTTTTATTTTGGTGTACATTCTTCTAGAACCAGGTTCATTTTTCCAGTTTTGTAGAAAAATAGATGTTCCAGCCACCATTTACTTAACTGTCTAGTCTTTTAAGACCAATCAGTATGTTCCCTGGAAAGATGAATAAGTCTCATGACTAATTTTTAAAAAATTCTTTAAGACAAAGAAACAACTTTCTTTTTTTACTCCCAAAGCACAGTATCTCAACAGCAGCAGCCAACATGGGGTTTTAGCAGCTTAACTTTACCCCCTAAATAAAGCTTTGTATAAACCAGTGATTTTACTACAAAAAACACTGTCCTTGAAAGAAAGGAGTGGCAGTCAGACATCAATGCAAAACTTGGAATGATTAGGTCATAAACATGGCACTTACAAAAGGTAGCTTATTAGAATATTCCACTTAAGAAGAGGTTACTTTTCTGTCCCTCCTTTGCCCCCTCGAAAAACAAAAAAAAAAAAAAAAGAAAAAACATTTCCTTTAAAAATTCCCCTTAAATGTAGGTTTATAAAATGTCAGAAATGCCTTGTACCCAAAACAAGTGCTTAAAAAAAAAAAAAAAACTTGTGCTAACAACTCTTACAATTCAGATATATATTTTTAAAACATCTAAGACTGCAAGAGTTCTTATATTCAGTAGCTCTCTGGTTTAAGACGACCTCCATCTCCTTCGCTTACAAAACGCTTTCTGCCCCTGTAATGAAGAAAAAAAAACAAAGACATGAAAACAGATACAGATTCTGACTATAGTCAACAAAAAAAATTAAAAACTTGGTATTTTTTTGTTACTTGTTAGCTTTTAAAGGGTTTTCCATTTAAAAAAAAAAAAAAAAAGCATGCCTCTAATTCCTTTGGCAAAGACTCCCTACTATGTATCTTACCATAAAACATCAATATCAAATCTGAGTTTTTTAGTAAGTTCACTATCCAAACAGTCATATTAAAAAAAAGTTGACTCAAACTAAAGCATTTTATTTAGAAATTTAAATTTATTTCTAATTATTATTTGTAAGCTTAACAGTGAGCCAAATAGGAAACACTAACATAATTCAGAATTATGCAAACTGGAGCTGTGGAACCTATCAAAATATCCATGTTTGACAATTAAAAAAAATAAAAAGTTTTATCAACTGTAGAAAAGCCATAACTTGAATGTGGAAAAAGAAATCAGAATCATAGCCTATGCCCCATGTTGGGATTTGTGCTTTGTCAAACTCAAGAAGCCCAGCTCTATAACGTAACCACACTCTAGCTAGTGGCAATAGCCCAGAAGGAACAGCTGGCCAGTGGCCTAAAGCAGTAAGTGGGAAATAGAAGTTGGGCAACATTAGCCCTTACTCTCTGACCCCAGGCCAACAGGCACAAGCATGCAAAACCACACACAAATGTGCACCTCACCCAAATAGGCTAAAAGATAAAGGACCCAAGTCAAAGCTATATGGTATGTATACACAGAAAGTTTATTGCCTCACATGACCCTTGAGAATAAAGCCACACAGAAACATTCAGACTTTCAAACAGAGGCTGAAAAACTTTCAAAAAGTCAATGCCAGGGTACTGGCCCCTTTTCATATCAAGTCTAAGTGGAAAACAGCTACATCATCTTGAACATAAAGGCTTCAGACTACGTATTGAGACCAAGGTAGGGAATGAAGAAGCAGTCAATAATAATAAGGCCTGCCAAAGTTCAGAGTTTTTACTAATGTATACCACTTGGCACATCCATACATAAATCCTGCCATCACCAAACTAATGTCTATATTTCCAAATATTTCTAGTAAAGCTATTAAACTATCTTTCATCACTTTCTTTTCCCTCTCTTTTAATGGCTTCTAAAATTCTAAAGCAAAAGCCCCTACTAGGAAATATTTTTCTGAGTTTTAATTCTTACAATGCACTTAAATAAAAATATCAAAGCTTAAGAAATTTTCCAGATAAAAAATTGTAAGAACTTAAGATTATATAAAACTGACCCACACAAGCAGTAAGTTTGGCTATTACTAAACATTTATATTATTACATTATAAGCTTCATTATTAGCTTTAACAACAACAAAAAACTTAGCAACTCCTTAAGAGTTACATCCTAGTAGCAAAAAAATAGCTCCAAGGAAAATCACCCACACACATACACTTTCCAGTGAGAACATCCTCCACACACCCCCCAACACACACACTTTCCAATGAGAACATCCAATTAGACCCAGTTCTCCAACCTGTAAAAAAGTCAAGGAAGCCATGTCCAGTACAGGTAAGAGCCTAGATCTTTGAAGCCAGAAAAGTCCTGGATTCATACTTGGCTTCTACCATGTACTAGCCATGTGACCTTAGAAAAAGTATACCTCCCTAAGCCTCAATTTTCTCATCTTATCACTGATAATACCTACTCTAAAATAACACTGAAACTACTTACAACAAAGGAACTGCTCCACAAGATTAGTTTCTTTCAAATGAACTGGGACTTCATGAGGCAGTCCTGTACAGATTTACAAGGGGGCTAAAACAAGCTTCGCCCTTCTTTCTCCATGAACTCACAAGAGTCATGTTCTTCAGTGACTTCAGGGAATGATAAACTAACTTAGCACTTAACTTTCCCAAAGACCTCATCCACTATTTTATATTGAGAAAGTAGTATTTAAATAAAGTACCTTGAAGGACAAAGATCTCTGAGTTGTTTGGAAATTATTCCAGACTGAAAACATTCTTCTACAAACCGCTCCAGCACAGAGTACGAATGTGGGACATCCAGATTAATGTCTGGAATTTCGTTGTAAATTCTCTCATAACCCTACAACAATGAAATTACACACAGAATTGTTAGCCAATATAAAATATATGTCATAAAACACAATCGATCCATCACTATGTCATCAATCTATATTTAAGACCAAATGTTCAAGTGGTTAAACTGAAGTCTGATTTGAATAGTGAGAAGCACAGAAAGTAGATTTGTTACAGTGTTTTACAACTGCTCTCTTTTATTAGAGTCAGGAAATAACAGACACTGGCAAGGTTGAGGAGAAAAGGGAAGGTTTATATACTGTTGGTGGGAATGCAAATTAGTTCAGCCCCCGTAGAAAGTGGTTCGGAGATTTCTCAAAGAACTCAAAATAGAATTACCATTCAACCCAACAATCCCATTACTGGGTGTATGTCCAAAGGAAAATAAATCATTCTACCAAAATGACACCTGCATTTGTATATTT